CCTGTTGCTGTTGCTGCTGGAAGCTGCCCAGCCGGTTTCGCCTCACAGCGGCCCCGTGTACAACACAACACAACACAACACAACACTGGCTCATCCTCATCCTGTACCATCCTCACAACCACTGCTGTTTGAACCCTTGTTACAACCACCTGGGCTCCAATCCTAATACAATCAGTGGTTTCCAGGCCCCAAAAGAGACTTGCCTACAGTGGGCTAAACACCGTTTACAACGCCGAGGCCCCAGCTACTCCAGTCTTCATAAAACTACCCAGACGCACACACAGACAAGAGATAAGACCCTAGGTCTGGTCAGAAACTAGTGTCGTGTAGGGTTACTACTGGGACCTGAGAGGACTGTCGGAGTGCAGAACAGGCGTGAAAGAAACCCAGCTTCATCACATTGCAAAGAATAAATAAACAAATCCCAGTTGCCCTTGAGTCGATTCCAACTCGTGGAGACTCCTGTGTCAAAACTGGACGCCATGGAGTGTCACAGGAAGTGACCATACAGAAGCATATCACCAGCCTTCCTTCTGAGTGGCCAGAATCGCCTTCTTCCAAAGTTACGGCGTTTCCCAGAAAAGACTTAACTCACCTTTTTCTCTGATTTCACATGCTCTCTGCCCTTGTCCCTGTCGGGGTCCCTGCTGGAGTGGTCCCCGTTCTTCACTCGGCGTTTGTCTCGGTCTCGGTCCCTGTCCTTGTCGCGGTCACGCTCTTTCAAGCGCTCCCTGTCCTTCTCACGCTCGGCTTCCCTGTCCCGGTCCTTGTTGGCCCGATCTCTGTCTCGGTCTCGGTCCTGCTTGGCCCTGTTCTTACTCTTCTCTCTGTCTGCTTCCCGGGACTTGTCTCTCTCGGGATCTTTGTGTCTGTCTCTGTCATTCTCCTTGGATTCCTCCTTCTCCTTGTCCCTCTCCTTTTCTCGGGGCTTGCTTCCTTCTTTCGTCTCTTCTTTCTGTTTGTGATCTCTGCCTGGACTTCGTTCTTTGATTTCGGAGTTTTTTCTATCCTGAGAAGAAAAAGGGCCAGAAGAAATCAAGCAGCAACTGATACACGTTTTCGCCTGGGCTCCAGACAGCCTCTCGTCGTCCGGGATGAACACCAGGCTGGGGCTCACCTCTTTGTTCTTATGAATCCTGGGATCCTCTTCTCGGGCATTCCGGTTATCCGGTTCTTGGGGTTTGGACATCCTTCCTTTCACGTTGCCCTTCTCTCCAGCCAGAACTCTCCTCACGGCATCCTCACTGGGGAGCTTATTGTAAAATGTGCGGAAACAAAAGGCAGATGGAACAAACCAGAATGTTGACACTCCAAGAGAGCTCACCCACGTGGCTTTGTCACTGAGGAAAGCCCAGACCTTCAGGGGTCTCTACAGTGGGCTCCATCCTGTGACTGTCCCACACTGTCCTCAGTCACACTGACCCCTGCAACTCTACAAATACTCAACACTCAAACAGAAGCCCGGAGCACCTGCCTCCCCTCAGGGGGCCTCACTGACGTGTCAATCCACAGAACACACAGTGTCCAGACGGCACAAGCGTCAGAGTGAGCGGGAACAACATGGGGCTAGGGGACAGGGTGAAGCATCACACCTGTGGTCAGAGGAGGCCTTGAGGGAGCGGGAGAGGGACAGAGGGGATGGGGGAAAGGAGGTGCCACTGAGCTGGTGATGCTGAGCAACTTCAAGGGAAAAGACAGGGGAACTGGGGTCAGAGGTCAAGGAGCCAGGAGCCACCAGGTCTGAAGCAACAGGAAGTCAGCCAAGGGTCAGCAGAGATTGGACCATACCTGTGGACAGGAACAGGACAAGGTTAGGGAGGGACAGAAGCTGGGGGGACATGAG